GACTGGGTGTGTGAAGGTGCACTGGGGTCTGCTGGGTCCTTGGGCCCCATTTCCCTTCTGTGAAAGGGAGTGGTAAAACTTACCCACCTTTGCAGTGCATTGTAAGATCTCTACAAGACAAAACGATGTAAAAGCAAAATTTATTTATGCCATTAAAGCTTAGCATGAAGTTATTTGGGGTCCTTTCCTTAAGAACAGTATGAAGTAAATGAACTAGGTCCCAGCTGTTTGGAGTTTCTCAAGTCCACTCTGTGGAAAGGGGGTTGGCTTGACTAATGGCTACTTTTGCCTCTTTGCAGAGGAGAAGAGCGGAGAGACAGCAGCGCTCCAAAAAAGTTGGGGTCCGATACTATGAGACTCACAATGTGAAAAATAAGAACCGGAACAAGAAGAGGAGAAACTTGGAGGGACAGAGAGCAAAGCACAAGAAACCCAAACACAAGCAGTAACAGCTGGTGCCTTGATTAAATGTTACCCAAACCTGTTCCTGTAGCATGATGGTTTTTTTCTTGCTGTACAGCGTGTATTTCCAACCTCGGAGCCCAGCCAGCCACGTCCTGTCACAGCGACTAAGAGGAACCCTGCCAGCATCAGCCCATGCTGTAGTCTAGCATGAAAGCTCAGGTACACACCTCCAGAGCCTGTTTGGAGAATGAGTCAGTAGGGAGTGGGGGAAAACAGCTTCCTGTGTATGCAACAGCCTAAACTGTTGGGAGTGAGGGTTGATTAGGAAAAACTTTCTAAGCTATTTGCACTACCAGGGTAGTGAAGTAATGAAACATGGCGCCTGGAGACGCTGGGGGATCTTCTTCGTTAAAAGCTTTAAGAACAGGTTAAACCCTCCGTGGCGTGCAGTTCAGGTAGGCTGGTTCCTTTTTCAGTGCAGAGGTAAGTGAGCTCTTTGAGGGAGGGCCCTTCCAGTCTTGTCTTTTTTTAGATCTGATGACTTCATGCTATAGCTTAAGTCTTTCCATCGCTCTTTAGTTAGCCACATGTTCAGGATACATAATTGTCTCAAACCTCATTAATCATGGCTTGCTTTCCTGGCCATTTTTCCGGATTGTGAAAGGAGCACACGGTTGGACACTGCCCAAACATTTCTTTGGAAGAGATCTAGGAGCGGGGAGGAGGAGTACTGTAAGGGGAGACCTACTGTAGGCTGGGCATTCATTGTGCTTCCAGGCTACAGCCTCTCTTGTCAAATTCATCTTTAAAAAAAAAAGGCAGGCAAGGGGCAGGACAGACGTGCTTAGGGTGTAGTTGTTCTGCCAAAAACTGTTTTGTTCATGCCTTCAACTGTTGCAGTGAGCAGAGGCTTCATTAAAAATGGACATGGCATATAGTTTAGATGGGAGATGAAACAGTCACCTTGGCCTGGGAAGTTCCCTTGCCAGGAGCTCCCATTACTGCGAAAAGCAAAAGCATGTGTCTGCTGCTGAGGACACTTGGCAATACTTGATTCTTGAATGGTACGTGCCTTCTGGTGTGTTGGAAGCTGTCTGATGCGTGGGCGCTGGTGTTAACTCAAAGTAATCTCATCTTAATTTCCCTGTTGATTTCAACCTAAGAGCAAGCAAGCAACCTGCAAAGCTCTTACGTCTTCAAGGTGAAAAATGTGACTGGTTGAGAAGAGACTCTTCTGGAAAGCTGGCCCCAAAACGAACATTAACCTTGGTGAGACTCCTGCTCTCTGGAGCTTTCCCAAGTGATAGGCTGAGATGCCCCCAGCTGCATTTTGTTCCTGTGTATGCCGTTAGGTTTTGTTGCGAAGAATAGGCCTGGGAACACGGAGACACTGATGATCCTGAAGGGACGAAATGCCTCAAGTCCCTCTGCAGTGCACGTGTTGACTGCGACTTGCTGGAAACGTTAGTGAACCAGGCTCAGCACTGCCAGTGTGGCAGGAGCTTTGAACTCCAGAGCATTTCTGCCAAAGACGGGAGCCTGGGAAGCATTAGGGCTTAGAGATGAACTGAGCAAGGAAAAACTGAGGCAAGTGATCAGGAAGTACTGTTTTATAAGGTCAGTAACGACTTGTTAGTCCCCTAAAGAGATTTCCATCTCCAAGTTGGACTCGTGCCACTATTCACTAGGAAACCATTGATAGCACAGAACAGACTGAATGATCAGGCTGAAGGCTGGCCCTTCAGAGAACGTGGAGAGTGACTGAGACGTACTTGGTGTCCCTTGTCCAGTGGCGGTTTGGGTTTTCAGTATCCAAAAAAACTTCCCAATCGCTGCAGGACGACGCCACTTCCTTTCAGAGTGAAAAGTACTTTAATACAGTACGCTTGGTCTAGCGCTATACAGCTGGTCCAGTAAAAGACATCCCCCCCCCCCCACAAAAAAAGGAGGAC